AAAGAGTGGCTGCTTCTCCTTAACCAATTACAGGATGGGGGCCTCTCAGCTGCCACGCCCTGCCTGTGGTCCTTGTGGGACAGAACAGAGTCTTTCCTCCTGGCCCCACTCTCTGGCCCACCCACTAGAGCTGTCTTGCAGGAAGGTTGCAAAGCCCTCACCTGTCTGCACTGCTGGCTGCTTCCTTGAAAGAATGCTGTGGCTCAAATGTCCTCCCAAAATACCTGTGCTGGAAACTTAGCCCCCAGTGCAATGGCATTGCAAGGAGGGGCCTTTTATAAAAAAAAAAAGACTTATTTCTCTGAAAGACAGATTACAGATAGAGAGGGCTAGAAACAGAGAGAGAGATTTTCCATCTACTGGTTCATTCACCAAATGATTTCAATGATCATGGTTGGGCCAGGCCAAAGCCTTGAGTTAGGAATTCCAGCTGGGTCTCCCACACATTGGAAATGGGGCAAGCATTTGGGCCAAATTCTGCTGCTTGCCAGGTGCAATAAACGTCAGTCTTGCCTAGTACCACCAAAGCCTCACTGTACTCAATCATTTGAGCATGCTTTACTCCACAGTGCCCCCTGCCAGACAGCAGGGACCTAGTAGGTTCAGCCTGTAACATGTCCTTGGCTGGCGGGCTCCCTGTCTTCCCCCACCACTGGGGCAACTCCAGTGTTCTCATTATGCATTTAAAAGATTTTTAAAGTTATTTATTTTGTGGTGACAGCATCATGGCACTATGGTTTAGGCTGTCAACAATGACGCTGGCATTTCATGCTGGAGTAATGATTTGAGTCCTGGCTCCTCCACTGCATATCTGCCTTCTTCCTAATGTGCCTGCAAAGGCTGAAGGTACCCCAAGTACTTGGGTCCCTGTTCCGCATGTGGGAAATCATGATGGAGTTCCACACATGGCTGCTGTGGCATTCTAGGAAGTGAACCAGTGGATGGAAGATCTCTCTGTGTCTCCCTCTCTGTCACTCTGCCTTTCAATAATGAACACATCTTCTAAGTCTTTAAATTTTTGGAGAGGCTGAGACACAGATGGTACTCCCATTTTTTGGTTTATTCCCAAAATTCTTGCAACCAAATGGGATAAACCAGGTAGGAACTGAAGCTGGGAGCTGGAAATGCAACCAAGGATTCCCATGTGGCTGTGGCTGGCAGGAATTGACTTACTCAGGCCATCACTGATGCCTTCTAGAGTCTGCATTAGCAGGAAGCTGGAATCAGGAGCTAAAGACAGGAGGAACTGAACCTAGGTCCAATGATGTGGGTTTTTTTGTAAATATTTCTTGTATTTATTTGAAAGACAGAGACACAGAGAGAGAGAGACAGAGAGAGAGGTCTTCCATCCACTGGTTCACTCCCCAGATGGCTGCAATGACCGGAACTGTGCCGATCCAAAGCCAGGGGCCAGGAGCTTCTTCTGGGTCTCCTATGTGCGTGCAGGGGCCCAAGAACTTGGGCCATCTTCTACTGCTATCCCAGGCCATAGCAGAGAACTGGATCGAAAGAGGAGCAGCCTGGACTAGAATCGGTGCCCATATGGGATGCCGGCGCATCAGGCCAGGGCTTTAACCTGCTGCGCCACAGCACCAGCTCCGATGTGTGGGTCTCTTAATGAGCATCTTAATCACTAGGCTAAATGTGCTTCTAGTGATTCTTACTATATTTTGAGCATCAGCTTTGCCAATAACAAAGTGCACTGGAAACACAGCAAATTTGTTGCCACACAAATTAACAAGATGATTTTATTGTATAATATTCTATCAATGTAGGCAGAAACTAAAAATCATAGGTTTCATTTTTTTAAATAAGTTGGTCCATGTGGCTTTGGCTGAACAATATGAGAGAAATAGAAGTTCATGTGGAGGCCAGCCCTGTGGCTTAGTGTATAAGGCTGTTGCCTGCAATGCTGGCATCCATATGGTGGTCAGTTCATTGCTCAGCTGCTCTACTTCCAATCCAGCTCCCTGCTGATGACCTGCAAAAATTAGAGGAACAGGACCCAAATGTTTGGCCCTGCCACCCACATGGGAGAACTGAATGATGCTCCTGGTGCCTGGCTTCAGCCTGCCCATCACAGCCATCTCTGGAATGAACCAGCTAATGGAAGAACTCTCTGTCTCTCTCCCTCTCTCTCCCCCACCCTGCAACTCTTTCAAATAAATCAATAAACTTAATACAAAAAAAAGAAGAAGTTAGTGTGGGTCGTAGGAGAGTGCAAGGGATGGTCAGGTAGTTAGGTGCCTGACACCCATGTGGGAGATCTGGATTAAGCTCCATGCTACTAACTGGACACAGCTGTCATTCCTGAGCAGCTCCTTTGTGTCGAGGCTTTGCCAGCAACATCGCCTTCAGTTCCTCCTCCCTCCCACCTCACTGACAGGAGGGTGCAGTTACAAGTTCAGCTGACAGCTAAGAGTTTGGATTCCAGACCCCCACCATGAGAGAGGTACTTGGTGGCTCTGGGCCTCAGTGTCCCACACATCAACTGGGGCTACTAACAGTCTCTGCAATACAAACAGCTGCTGCCTGAGCTCTGCTGCTCCCATTGCTATTCCCATCCCATCCCCACTTGAAAGAGGAAGGAAGAAGAGGTCCTAACATCCTGGCTCACGGCTTCAGATCGGCCCAGCTCTCACCAGTGTGACCACTTGGGAAGGGAATCAATAGATGGAGCATGTACAGTAGATGGAGTATCTCAGGATCACTCCCCACCACCACCACCCCTTAATATTACTGTGCCTCTCAGATAAATAAATGCAATCTTTAAAAATGAAAGCATACATAATTCAATGGGAAAAACATCAATGTCTCAAAAGAAATGCAGGTTGAACAGAAGCACACAGGTTACCAAAAGGAAATACAAATGGCCTCATGTGCCTAACAAGACAGCCCCTCACTCCCAACAGGGGAATCCACATAAATCCCACAGAGAAAAGGGTGCCCACATGTGGGAAAGAAATGCTGAACTCTACACCTGTGGTCAGACCAAGGGTAGATGGGCCTTGAGCAGATTGCTGGGGAGCATGCAACCAGGTGCAGCCCTGGGATGACCCAGCAGCTTCACAGCCACCTTTCCTCATAAAGCAATCACCATTCCAGCCCTTGGTTCCATCTGCAGGTGTGCAGAATGGAGCACACACACTCAACTGAGGAGCGGCAGGGTCACTTCTTAAACCCACTGAAGTTGACAGCTGAAAACCTGCTAAGGTCTCTCTCTCTCTCTCTCTCTCTCTCTCTCTCTCTCACACACACACACACACACACACACACACATAGGAGGATTATTCACCCATAAAAAGAATGAAATTCTACCATTTGCAGGAAAAATGGCTGGAACTGGAGGACATGCTATTGAGTGAAATAATCCAAACACAGAAAGACAAATGGTGCATGTCCTCTCTTATAGGGTGGCAGCCAATATTTAAAGAGAAAAATGCCTGAATATATAGTTTTACTGGAAATAGAGTGTTTTGTCTCATTTTGTGTTAAATATTTATCCAAGAAAATTGATAGGAATTATATTCTACTAGAGTTTTAATGATTTGGGGACTACTTTAAAATTTACTTTATGTGAGTCAACATGAACATCTTTTCTGTTGGTTATTCTGTGTAGCCCGTGCCTCCTTTCCTACTGGACTATGGTCTTCTCACTTTTTATTTCTGGAACTCTTTATTTAGGGGCACCAATAAGCCTTTGGCTATAATGTAAATTATATGTTATCTCAAAAAATAAATACAAGTTTTTTTAAAAGAACTAGCACACTCTTTGTAGACCAAATCCAAACACTTCAAGATGTGTTGTTGAGAAAAAAATCTGGTAGAAAATCCTCAGCTCAGAGATTGATTTCAACCCCACAACTTCTGAGGAGATTCCAGGGGCCGGAACCATGGTAGAGTAGTTTTTTTTTTTTTAATTTTACAGAGTTAGACAATGAGAGAGAGAGAGAGAAAAAGAGAGAGAGAGAGGTCTTCCTTCCACTGGTCCACCCCCCAAACGGCTGCCACGGCCAGAGATGCACTGATCCGAAGTCAGGAGCCAGGATATTGTACAGAATCTGACTGGAAAAAATGAGCCCCAAAATATTTCCCCTCCCAAATAACAGCATGAACTACAATGTCAAATAGAGAGTCTTAGTTACACTGTATTTCTTCATTCCCTCATTTCACGTTGATTAACCACATCACCAGCCATCTAATCCCCCAGAAAATGTCAGTCACAAGAAACACAGTAACAATGACCAAGCACCCACAGCCCTCCATAACGACATAATCGCCCACAAAACAGACTCTTCCCCAAGACCTCAAAAATCAATCTTCTGAATTTTTTAAATTAAAAGAAATTTCTACCCCATCATAGTCCACCATTCACATAATTTATTCCATAAACAATCCTAAAATCAATGACTCCCAAATGCCCACACTCGGCCCCAAGTTCCAGGAGACTTCCGTAGCGTTACAGTGACATAACCCAAGAGAACCAAGATACCCCTCAGTCACAAACACTGTTCTCCCTGAAAACGACCCCAAACTGAACCGACAGCACAACCAACGCTCCACGGACGACATCCCAGACCCCACAAGCAGAAGCTGGTGGGAAAGCGACAACACAGCCCACAACCACGTACTCCATAAAATATAAAATCAATCCATCAAGAAAACCAACGCGCAGCTCGGGTCCCAGTTCTGACGGAAGCTCCCCCGGCCGCTGACAGGAGAAACCCTCATTCCAGTTCGCCCCCAGGAGCTTCATGGCCGCGAGCAGCGCCTGCCACAGGGCGCCCAGCGGCGCGGCGACGCCCACAGCCCGCGTCCGTCCTCCCGGCACGCACGCCCCGCGCCCTCCACGCCTCTCCGCGGCTCCCACCCTCCCTGAGGAGAGCGCCCGGGCCCGGCCAGGCCCCACGGACGCGCCACAGACGCTGACGCGGCGCTCAGCAGGCCCGCGACGCCGGGGAGCTGGGGCAGCCGTCCACGGGAGCGTTCTCCTCGCGCACCCGCAGACCCGCGCTCTCTCCAGTCAGCCCCCTCCGCGGCAGCTCCACGTGCCTGGCTTCAAGCCTGGCCTCCGCATGTGCTGCAGTCCACAGCGCACGCCAACGGACGACAACAAATCCAACGAAACATTAAACAAAAATGGCCGACGCCAACTGCACAGCATACTCATAGCCTCTGTATTCAAATATGGGCTCCGGAGGGACTCTTTTCTATTGGATAAGACGGGAAGAGCAGCAACCAATCAGTAACTCTGTGCTTGCGCATGCGTAGCCACTGTGGTCCGTCTGGGCTGGTCTGCCATCTCTGGAGACCCCGCCCTGAGCTGTGGGGGACAGTGCTTTGCGCCTGCGCAGTGATGCGGCACTGGCGGGAGCGCGGCAGGAAGGCCTGGCTGCCTGAAGAGGGCGCCCCTGCGACCCGGCGCCCGCCAGCTCCACACTCTCCAGTCCCGGATCTCACGGCTGCCCCAGAAGCCGGGCGCTGACAGCTGCGGGGCCTGCACCCCGGGACGATCAGCGCAGCCCCCAGCGCTCCTGGAGGCCCTGCCCGAGAGCGCCCCGAGCGGCCACTGCTGGCAGCGCCTCCCTGAACCGGACTCGTTCTGCCCTACCCTCCAAGGGCGGCTCCCCTCAGGGGACCCCCATCAGTCCCCACCGCGCTCCCCGACTGCAGGCGGCCGCAGCCAGCACGGAGGAGCGCGACCACCGCAACCCCGCGACCGGGCTGAGCCCGGGGCGCGCGGGCCCTGGAGGCGACGCGCTCCGCCCGCGCACGAACGCCCGACGCGGGGCCTGCAGGAGCCGGCCCGTGGCCCCTGGGGTCCGTGGGGTGACGGCCGCCGACCTGGACGGGGTCCCCTGTGAGTGGAAGCGGGAGGCACCACATGGCCGCACGGAAGGAGCGGGGTCAGCGGCCACGTCGGTTAAAAACCTGACCCCAGAGGATTCTCGCTCTGGATGGAGCTTGGGAAGCAGCAGGACGCTGGAGAACCCCGAGATCTGCAGCCGGATAGGTCTGGATTCGAATCTGGACTCCCCCGCTTACTAGGTGCGGGCTCCTAGGAACCTGCCTTCACCTTTCCCGGCCTCATTTCCCCACCACTGCTGCAGGCCCACTTCTCACATCTCATCTCTGCATTTACAGGTTTCTTAGACTCAGCTGAAAGGCCGGATCGTGCGCCGTGTGCCCGGTTTCCTGTCCTTTTGTGTCCACTCTATCACGACAGCAGCAGTGACTCATTTTTACGTTAGCGTCGTTTCTCCTGCTGGATGGTGAACTGCACAACGCAGGGCCTTTCTGTCTCGTTCCTGCCTGTCTCCAGGGTGCAGCACAGTGACTGGGAAGCTGTACGTGTTCCGTGCATATGTGAAGAAGGAATGAATGGGTGCCAGAGCGCGGGGAACGGGTGTGCGCAGAGGGACACACGGCGCAAGCTGGAGATGCCGGGCCACAGGGGGCAGCCGCAGGATGGCATCTGGCCTCCGGGGATGAGGGACATCCTTCGGGGAGAGAGGATGATGCGCCTCACAGAAACTGCTTCCCTCCCCGCCCACCTCAAGGCCAGGGCTCTTCCTGGGGGGATGGGATGCTCTTGCAGCAGGTGGCCCAGGGGTCCCAGCCGGTGGGCTGTGGGAAGGGGCAGGAAGCCTGGAGGGGACCCACTGCCTTCCTGAAACAACAGAGCTCTTTGCAGTCCCCCGGTATTATCTTCCCGCCTGTGCCTCTGCCAAGCCCCCTTCCCGCTGTGGAACAGCCGTAACAGCAGAGACCTCATCTGTGTGTGTTCCTCTGATGCAAAGCCCCAGGGAATGGGTGCAAGGGCTACGTGTGGACAAAGGCACCGGGAGGGCTCCTGGGCCCAAATGTGTCCTTAGCTGAAACGTTGATGTTATTTTGGGGAGAGTAGCATGCAGGCTATGGAAAGCCCTCTTCCCACTCCCACCCTCCATCCGTCCAGCTGCCCCTCTGGGTGTTCCGAGTTCCTGAAGAATCCTTCTGGGAAGTGCGTGCTCCAACAACCAAGTCCCTGCTCTTCCTGCAGCAGGTGAGTTCCACATACACTGTGTCTTGTTCACTGGATGCCACGCCTTGGCTCTCTTTCTGTACAAGCTCATGAGAGAGTGGGAGTTTTTCTTTTTGCTGTTGTAGCTCTTGGCTACACAGTATCCCTCTGAGTCAGTGTCCTGGGGAAAGGCCCCTAGTGTCTCAGGAGCCAAGCTCTAGCCCCCCATGCCCAGCTGTGTGCATGCAGGTGGTGAGGAGTATGGAGGCAGGACACAGAGTTAGAGACTGAGTTAGGACACAGAGAACCTGACACCTTGCTGCCCACTGAGGAGCCAGGAGCTAGGTGTGGCTACTGAGCCCTGGAAACACCCGAATGGAGATGTGCTCTTCAAGGAAAACATGCACAGATTATGAGGATTTAATTCAGAAATGTAAAATATCTTATTTTTATAATGACTACAAGTTGAAACTATCACATTCTTGCATTGTAGAGCAACGGGAGAAACCACTGCTTGGGGCACTGGCATCCCATCCTAGTTCGAGTCCTGGATGCTCCACTAATTAGTCCCTGCTAATGCTTCTGGGAAAGCAATGGTGTGATGGCCCAATTGCTTGGGTCACTGCCAGCCACCCCTGTGGAAGACCAGGATGGAGCTCTGAGTTCCTGGCTTCAGCCTATCCCAGACTTGTCTGTTGCAGCCATTTAGGGAGTAAATCAGCAGATCAGAGATCTCTCCTTTTCTCTCTTTCAAATAAATCTTTTTTTTACAATGTGACTACTAGGCTTGTTTTATGTGTGGCATGTGTTTGTGGCCATTTTATTTCTATTTGTGCTTCCCCCAGAGACAGAGTTCAGGGTGGGAGGAGCTAAGCCATGCTGGAAAGAAGCAGAGTAAGGAGGAGACACAGGAGTAGCCAGATGAGACTCCCTGGGCTGGGGTCAGTGCAGTGGGTCCTCATCTGTCTCCCAGGATACTCACTCCTCAGTCTCATTTCCTCATTTCTTTCCTTCGTGTGTGCAAGATGATGAAGGAGGTTAGAGAATGTCTTCGTGCAAGTCTGGGGCTGCTCTCTGTCTTCCAGCTGTGCTATTTCTTCTTCTTTTTCTAAGGACTGATTTATGGGACCAGCGCCGTGGCGTAGCAGGCAAAGGTGCCACCTGCAGTGTCAGCATCCCGTATGGGTGTCGGTTTGAGTCCCAGCTTCTCCACTTCTGATCCAGCTCTCTGCTGTGCCCTGAGAAGGCAGTGAAAGATGGCCCAAGGCCTTGGGTCCCTGCACCCACATGGGAGACCTGGAAGAAGTTCCTGGCTTCAGATTAGCACAGCTCCTGCCATTGCAGCCATTTTGGGAGTGAACCAGCGGATGGAAGACCTCTCTCTCTCTCTCTGTCTCTCACTTTCTCTCTCTCTGCCTCTCTTATTTATTGGAAAGGCAGTCGCAGAGAGACACCGCGATCTCTTGTCGGCGGGTTCACTCCACAGAGGGCTGGGCCAGGCCAAAGCCAGGAGCTTGCTCCGGGTCTCCCACGCGGGCGCAGGGGCCCAGGCGCTTGGGCCATCTCCCGCCGCTTTCCCGTCAGCAGGGAGCAGAGTAGCAGGGCCCACGCGGTGGTCTGCGGCGTTGCACCCAGGGCTACACCGCCAGCTCACTGCGCTCCCCCATCCGCCGAGCCGGGAACAGTGCGCGGCTCTAACGTCTATCCTGGATTTCTCTTTGTGGAAACGTTGTTGCTCAGACGCCGCTCACGGGCACCGTCCGGCGTGCTTGCGTCACCAGCGTGCTGCCGCGTGCGTGTTTACATCGCCAGCGTGCCGTGGCTGCCCACGGAGGCGCGGCCTCGGTGCCGCCCGCCCCTCTTGGGTGTTCCCGGCCTCTGTGCTGTCCGTGCAGGCGTTCACTGCGGTCTCGTGCCACGCCCTCCTATGCTGCCGCTCCCGTCCCCCGGCCAACCCCCTGACACTGGGGGGCTGTGATAGCGGGGAGGCCCCACCCCCAGCCTCAGCTCCTGGCAGCCCTTCTATGCGCCCTGCGGGGCTTGCTGTCCAGGGCCGTCAAAGGCTGAAGCCTCCATCGCGCTCCTGTGCCTGGACAGAGAGCCCCGGCGCGGCGGCCTTTCCTCGGCTCCCCACCAGGCTCCCCACGCCGGTCACCGCCCTGCCCTTGCTGTGTCCTCTGCCTGTGTGGGAGCCAAGGGTTCTGAGTGTCTCGGATTTAGCTGTCTCAGGTCTGCACCACCCCAGGGCGGACACGGGGTCCGCCGGGCAGTGGGGGATCTTGGGCCTGGGGAGAGACCGCCCAGTTACATTCTTGCTCACCGGCTTTTCCCGGCCGCCTCAGGAGCCAGGAAGGAGTTGTGGGGCCCGGGAAGAGCAGGCCCCGCTGTGTTCCCCTCGGCCTGGCCAGCGGCCCTGGACCACGGTCCCGGGGTGCCCCTGCTGACGCACCATTGTCAGGGGCCGGCCTGAGGAGCACCGTCCCGTCCTCAGCCACCAGCACGGAGTCCGGGCACAGGTAGGCTGCAGGACGTGCACCCAGGGGTGTGGTCAGGGGCCAGCGGGCTTCGGGGTCTGCAGCATGCACAAGTGGATCCTCGGTGCCTGGTGTCCCATGCTGCCCCTCCCCCAGGGCCACGATGTGGACACTGCCCTGCCCCCAGGCTCACTGGGTCACCTGGGGGCTCCGTGGGCACCTGCAGGGCGCGGAGGCAGGCCAGGCACAGGGCCCACAGCTTGTACTCCCTGAAGGGCCGGCCCAGTTGCACAGGAGGTCCTGCAGGGACAGGTTCTATGGGAGCAGAGAAGGGGACTTCCCGGGGGCGTGGCAGGTGACACCCCGCTCCTGAGAGGCGAGGCTGGGGAAGCAGTGAGGTCGGAGTGAGCATGGGTGAGGCTGGAGGCCTGGCCGCTGTGAAGTCAGACGTGGCAGGGCCCCCAGGAGCCGGCACAACCATGGGCACAGCAGCCCCAGGGCGGCACACCATGCACTTGTCCCCTATATGAGGATGCCTTTGGTGACCTGGGCTCAGTGACCTGAGTGGTCACCCGGGTGCAAAGGGCAGGGAGCGTGTGGGAGCCAGGGTCAGGGAGCCGTGTCCAGGGGGTAGTCAGGGAGGATG